GGGTTTAGGGTTCAAGGTTTAGGTGGTCGGAATAGTGAACAGTAACGTTAATTGTGCAGTTATGCTTCCCAAGAGTTAAGCTATAATGTACCCCAAAAGCCCGAGGCCCTAGTCTAGTTATTAAGGTTCAGAAGCTTCTGAAGAGAAATGAAGAGGTTGCCGTGAACTGGTCCCGCAAGTAAGAATGCTGCTAATGTTAGGCTTATTTTGAGGTTCCTCTTGGTCTGAGATTCTCATACATGGCATGGATGATGATTTTCCACCTAACACGAATGGGCTTTAGCGTGCAGCATAAATGTCATGGTTCTTATTCTTGCTGCCGTTATTATTGTTACTCTGTTCTTGTCGCCCTACGCCCTGCGCCCTAAAGCCCTAAAGCCCTGCGTTGAGACCCGAAGCCCCAAAACGAGTAGGCTCAACAGAAACATGCCGCATCCACAACCCAAAACCCTAAACCCCCATTCAAACCCCTAGGCCGTAAACCCTAATCATAGACTCAGCTGCAGGCGGCGTTCCCATGTTCGATGCCTTCCGCTGTGTGCTCTTGGGAGTCGGCAAAGAGGCAGGTGTTGCAGTTTCCTCAGCCCTAAACCGCAAACCCTAAACCCAGAAGAGTCGGATACCGTGGGTTGCATATCAGCTATCATTAATATCCCTCAACCTCAAACCCTCCAAGCTAAGCCCTAAACTCGAAGCCCTAAGCCTTAAACGATCACCTTAAAGCCTACCTGAAAGGAGGCCTTAGAGGAGCCCTAGAGGAACCCCTATAATCTAGGGGCCTAAATAATTACCTATACTATGTTGGGGGCTTCTTTTTATTTTAGTAGAATGTACCCTCCCAAAACCCTATTCTAGTTATTAAGGGCCCTATATTAAACCCTTTAAGCTTGAGACACTGAAACAGGAGCCCTGAACGGAACCGCTCTAATTTCCCTAAGCCCTAAACCCTATACTCCTAAGCCCCGAAGGTGGTGTTGCACCCTTAGAGGAGCCCTTAAAGGAGCCCTTAACGGAACCGCTATAACTTCCCTAAGCCCTAAGCCTAAACTGCCCTAAACCCTACAATCCTAAGCTCCGAAGGTGCTGTTGCAGTTTCGAGGCGCTGGCGGTCCGGTCCCCACCTGCCTAGGGCTTGGGACGGTCTCGGAAGCTGGCGACTGCCGCCTGTCAGGGTCAAGCGGTTTAGGGTTTCAGGGTTTAGGGTTTAGGGGTTTGAGGGTTTTAGGATTTAGGGTTTTAGGGTTTAGGGGTTATTTAGGGGTTTAGGGTTTCGGGAAATTGTCAGAAGGGCTCCTTTCGTGGTTTGGTTCAGGATTTGGGTTACTCTACAAGGGTTCTGTAAGGGTACTATCGAAGTTTCCGGCGTCAGGATTTGTGATGTACGGCTTGGGTTGTCGGGTTTGGAGCTTGCTTGGGTTCTGAGTCTCCGGTTTGGCCACGGGGTTCAGGGTGTGGGGTTTAGAGTTTGGAGTTGCGAGACTGAGCAGTGTTCGTTGTCGTAGGTGTGCTGTGGAAATCCTTGCAATTGGAACTGCAAATTTCTGGGTTTTCCGTAAACCCTAAACCCTAAATCCTAGAATCAGGCCTCCCGCAATCATGCTCTAAATATGTTAGCAATTGTTTTCTAATGCAAGCCCTGATCTTGAACCCGCAGCTCCAGGCCATTTGGGTTTAGGGTTCAGGGTAAGGATTGCATCCAAAATGAAGGATCCCTGAGCCCCACTTTTCGTTCGAGTTCTAGTTTTGGCACAGCTCACTAAACCCAAAGACCTTAAGTTCCCAAAGGCCTTCAGACCCCAAAGCCCAAAGCGCCCAAGCTCCAACCCCAAACTCCAAGAGCGAACCATAATCCACCCTAAACCCTACACCCTAAACCCTAAACCCCGAACCCCAAACTCCACCCAGGCTTTGCGTGCGTGGAGCATGCAGTCTCTGCAGGCGATGTTTGTGTGGAGTGCACAGTGACGTCGGCCGCTTGGCCCGGTAAGGTCTTTCTGCAGAGGCTAGGGGTTGTTTAAAGTGCTGCTACCACTACTACTACTACTACTACTATTATTATTATTATTACTACTACTACTACTACTACTACTACTAACAGTAATAACAACAAAAATATTATGCTGGGTCTGGGGTCGTTTTTCCAAGGTTTTGGCGGGGTCCGTCGGAGTTTTGGGCTTCAGGGCCGGAGGTTTGAGATCAGGAGCGTGCAGATTCATGGCACAATCGGACCTCGGGTTTAGGGGTTTTAGGGTTTTGGGGGTTTAGGGTTTAGGGGTTTAGGGGTTTAGGGGGTTTAGGGTTTAGGGACCGCAAGGACAGAAGTTTCGCAAGCTGAAGCCCAGATCAGCAGCCAGGGAGTACTGGGTATGGTCTTGACGTCCCTGTCTTCAACTGGATTTACGTAAGACTCGATTCCAAGAGTCACCGTCGCATCCCAGCAACAAGCCATTTCTCTCATCGGAAGCAGCAACTTCAGCATGCCAAAGAAAGGGACCTCAAGAACACAGATTGAACCAGCCCCACGCCAAAATCATAAACCCTGAACCCTACAACCCAAAGCTCTGAATCCTAACCCTGAAACCCAAAACCCAAAACCCCAAAATCCCTCTAGCCTCAAAGCACTGAACGAAACCCTCACGGGACCCCCCTAAAACCCTAAAACCCACATGCTACACTCGAAACTCCGAAAGTGTCGATGGCAGGAGGACCGCCTTCCTCCCTTCCGCCTTGATGGCCGACTGGGTGGATCTTGGCTTGTCCCTCACTGGCATCAGGGTTTGGGGTTCGGGGTTGACGGTTTAAGTCCCAAATCCCACCGTGGCATCAGTCTTAGAAGTAAGAGCTGGTGGTATTAATGGTCATGATGGTGACGGTGCTGCTGATGCCGGTGTGAGTGGGGGATCGCACGGTAGAGTGATGAAGAGTATTTTTGGCCGTCATCGCGGCAGTGAAGCTGCGGGATGGCTGTGATGTCTCAGAAGACCTTGTTTAGGCCTTGCCGCTGATGATGATGGTGATGATGGTGATGATGGTGATGATGGTGATAATGAAGACAATGAGAATAGCCATGGCAACAGTCAGGACACTGGCAATATCGATGATGATGATAACAGCGTAAGCAGTGGCATTACTTATAACTATGACCAATAACATGCTTTTGCAACTTTGCGCTCATAATGATCGTAATGGTCATATTGATGATCATGACAAGAAAATCTTACAAGAATAACGATAAGAATGCTAACTAGCATAATTATGATGACGCCATAGCGGTGATGACGATCGTGATGACAGCGATGATGGAAGTGGTAGCTGTGGTGACGGTGGCGTTGCCTAAACCCCCTTGGCCGCGAGCCCCGGCAGGTATTGTGGTGCCAACCCATGCCAACCCCTGAGGACTGCGTTGAGATCCAAGTTCAACATGCATCATGCAACCCTAAGCCTTAAACCCTACACTGAGTAAAACTGTACTTCATACTTCTCAGGCCCTCAGAGACGTCCGTGGCTGTTATTGATTTCTGTTGTTACTTCTCCTCCTCCACTTTCTGCTACTAAGTACTGTGCTACTGCTACTACTACGACGACGACTACTACTACGAGGACTACCACGACTGCAAAAATACCTGAATCCCCAAGCAACAACGGAAGAAGATCTGCCCGAAACCCTAAGCCCTAAGCCCCAAACACTAAGACCTAAATCTTACACCCTGAACCTTAAAACTTCAGATCCTAAGACCCCAATATCACGATATCCTATTCCCCAAAACCCTGAAAGGAAACCTTGTAGAACCCGTTTTGAGCCCTTAAGCTAGCCCTTAAGAGGGATCCATATTTACAGCGCTAAAGCCCCTTACAGCAGATTTGGCCTGAACTATACACCTATAAAGCTTCTTAAAGGAGCCCTTAAAGGAGCACATCTTGAACGCTTGAGGAACCCATTGCCCTGAAGCCCTGACCCTAAACGGGATCTCGGGATCTGCACCTACCACAATAGGGGTCGATAGCAAATAACATGGTTTCCTTGCTGGTAGTTTTAACCCTTGAACCCCTAAACCCTAAACGCTCGAAAGCCCCTAAACCCCCGTAAGCCCGAATCCCTAAACCCTAAATAAATCCTAAACCCCTAAAACCCCTAAACCCCCTCCAACCCTGACCCCTAAACCCTAAATCCTAAAGCATAAAACCCCCTAAACCCCCCTGAAATCCTAACCCCTAAAGCCTAGACCTCTAAAGCCCGTAAACCCCTGAAACCCTCTAAACCCTAAATCCTCAACCTCAAAACCCCTTAAAGGAGATCCCAAACCCCCCTGAAACATAGCACCTACACCTTAAACCCCTTAAAACCCCCCTTAAACCCTGAACCCTAAAAACCATGAGCCCTAAAAGACCCTAAAAGCCCTAAAAACCCTAAAAGCCCTAAAAGCCCCACACCCTAAACCAAAAAAAGCCCTAAAAATCCTAAAAGCCCTAAGCCCTACACCCTAAACCCCCTTAAAAACCACCCCTTACACCCTAAACCCCCTTAAAACCCCCCCCTTAAAGGAGATCTTGAGTTCGGGTCGCTCCTCGGCCCGCTGCTTCCTCCCTGGGGCCGTGGCCATCGTGGACGGTACCGGCGAGGAGGCGACGAAAGAAGAAGCGTAGGGTTTTTAGGGTTTTTGGGGGGGTTTTCACGGTGTAGGGTGTAGGGTTTTTTAGGATTTTTAGGGTTTTTAGGGCCTATTTTTGGTATAGGATGTAGGGTTGCTATCAGGGTTTTTTGGGGGGTTTTGACGGCTTTTAGGGTTTAGGGTCTAGGGTTAGGGTCTTTAGGGTTTTTAGGGCTTTGAGGGCTTTACAGGGTTTTTAGGGTTTAGGGTTCAGGGTTCAGGGGTTTTAGGGTTCAGGGTTTAGGATTTAAGGTTTAGGATTGGGCCGAAAGCCGGTTTCGGGGTTTAAGGTTTGAGGTTGAGGGTTTAGGGGTTTGGGTTTTAGAGGTTTAGGGTTTAGGGTTTGGGGGTTTAGGTTTGAGGTTTAGGGTTAGGGGGTCCGTGCAGCCCTTATACTGGATCTTCGGCTTCAATAGGGCTTCTTCGAAGTAAACGCCTTTGTTAGGGGTCATTTTTTGAAGGCACTTTTAGGGCTCAGGGTTCAGGGTTTCAGTTTTTAGGGTGTGAGGGACGCAGGGGTTGTGGTTCAGGGGCTTGCTTCAAACTACCATAGCCGCAAGTCTTAATTTCGAAAACCATAAAGCCTAAACTGTGAACCCTGGGCCCTGATCTACTCTTATGACTGTTGGTTTAGGAGTTTACTTCAAGTTACCATAACCATAAGCCTGAAACCCCAAAGCCATAAACTCCACACCGTGAACCCTACTAGGTGGTTCATGGGCAGTTGTAAGTGGGGTTATAAGTAGGGTAACGATGACAATAACTCCTATTAGGGGACTTATAACCCACTTATAACCCTCAATAATTACCTATACTGTGTTGCGGGTTCCTTTTTATGATTATAGAAAAGTATACCCCAAATCCCTATTCTAATTAGTAAGGCCCCTACACCCTGAACTCTAAAAAGTAGCCCTGCCTGAAAGTATCCCTTAAAGGAACCCTTTGAAGGAACCCCAACACCCTATTCTTCCTGTGAACCCCTCCGAGTAGGCCCTCCTAAACGCTAAACCCTAAACCCTAATAAACCCTAACCCCCAAACCCTGAACCCTAAAGCCCTAAACCCTGACCGGCTCATCTGACTTTTCCAGGGCGCTGCAGCCTTCTGCCAGGACTTCACGGCTGCGCGGGGCCGGCTGGAGGCCGAGAAGTAGCCGAAAAGACTGACCTTTTTAAGGAGCTATATATAGATGCCATAAGAAGGAGCCATACAAGGGTAGGTCTTGTCAGCTGCAGGTAGGGTTTAGGGTCTGGGGCTTTATAGGGATGGTTAGAGTTTAGGGTTTAGGTCATCCGTATCTCTTCCAAAGCTCTAAACTCAACGCTAAACCCTAAACCCTATACCCGTGGCCATTTTGGTCAAGCTTTTTGGTTGCCGGAAGGCTGCGCATGCGCGAGCGAATACGAAGAAGTCAAGGCCTGAGCCAATTGCCCGAAGGCAGAGTCTATTGGCGTCTATTGGAAGAGCCCATGCCGCAAACGGCCGTACGAGCGCAACCAGAAGTGTCAGAAAGCAGTGAGCTAGCCAAATGGCTGAAAGTACTGCTGACAATTGCTCCTGATGCGTTGAAGGAGCCCGCCATACCTGCCAAAGTCAGCCCTTGAGAAGGGGCTGAAAGATTCAAGCTGCGAAGCAGCCATGACAGAAGAACAGATCAAAGATTGGCAAACGGCAGAGTATGGAGAGTCAAAAGTGCATGAAGAAATACAAGCGCGTATGGACTATACAAGCCTGCACGAAATGACGATGCTAGGGGGGAAGGTTGCTGCGAGGCTCGAACATGCAGAGAGCCAGCCCTTCCGAAGCCATATGTGGCGACACAGAGACATTGAGCGAAGTCGAGTGATTCCAAAAGCCTGTGGTTGTGCCATGGAAGGCTCAAGGTCATTGCGCGATGTTGGTATCTTGAAGGATGCGCCCATACCCCTAGAAACAGCCCTGGGCAATCTGTCGTGCAGGTGGAGGACTCTGTCGAGTCCGGGGGGCCGGGTGTTCCGCCCACCCAGGAAGGGGCTGACCATGAGGAGACGCTCGAGGACCACACCGATTTCGCCGACAACGGCCGTGGGAAAGCGTCGCCGCATGGATGTGGTTGTCGGCGATGCAGGAGGGGGTTCTTCGTATGCCAGTCAGCCCGGGTGGAACAGTCACCTTCGTGCTGCATGTCCAAGAGGTTGGAGAGGCGACTGCCGTGCCTGATCCGAAGGAGCGCATTACCACTCAAATGGTTCCGATTGTGGATGACTTCGGTGGGGTGGCTACGGGTCAGGTGAATTGTGGCTAGACATGGACCTGGAGTCTTGGCGGCCCTGCAATCGCAACGGGTTCTGAGTGATGCCTGTGAGGGTTAGGGTTTGAGTGGTCGGTCGCTGGTAAGGACGAAGCTGGCATGGGAGCTTGTCTGGTCGCCCGTTCCCCTGGCCCAAGACCTTTCGTTGGTGGATCAGTACAGCTGTTTCAAAAAGGGGCTCGAAAAGAAAACCCTGAACCTTAAACCTTAAACCTTAAACCCTAAACTTCAGGTTGTTCTGTAGAGACCCTTGAGCCTTGAACACTGAGAGGTATGAGGCAGCTTGTAACGGATGGGTTTAGGGTTTAGGTTTAGGGTACAGGGCCACGGTTAAGTGTTTCGGGTCGAGGGTCCATTTCTGTAACGTCACCCTCCGCTGCGATGACTCTGTTACGACGTTCATGAAAGTGTAAATCATCAGCTGAAGCCAACCAGAGCGCACCATTGAGTACGATGACAAGAGCAATCATTGTATGGTTCGTACTGGTCAATGCAACTGGTAGTGGTCGTGGTTGTGGTCATGGCGGCGGCGGCGGTGGTCGTCGTGGTCGGCGCGTTCGAAGTACCAAGTGTACGGCTACAATGGTGATGCCCCTTCTGAGACTAGTGTCAGCAATTCAACAACATTGTAGCAAACAGATGCGTGTCGAATCAACCACAGTAGCAGTAATAACTCGTCGCCAGCACGGACAGCAACGCAACAGGAGGACTTGCATCCTAGGAACAGTCATCGCCCTCGTCGTCGTCCTTGTCCTGGTCCTGTCCCCGTCCTCGTCCTCGGCATCGCCGTCGTTGTTAAAATAAGCATTGCAATGATGAAAACGAGAACAAGACTAGTAACTCTGCCGAGGCTCGCAGTACAAGTAAGCTCAGCTACGCTCGTGATGAATGCGGTGGCGGTGATAGCATGAGAGCGACAATATTTGAACTAATGGCAGCACGCATGGCAAGAAGTTGCGACAACAGCAAGAAAGAACAGCATGCACGATGAAGGCAAGATAGCAGTAGTAGGAAAAGCTGGAACCATCCTTGTGAACGGCATCACATCAATAGTTTGGAATGGAATGGCAGCTGTGACTTGATGGCCGGCCACGAGCTCAAAACGAGTAGAGAGAGCAGCCAGTAGCACAGCAGCTCGACTCGTAAAAGTCAGAGCAGTAAATCAAACCCTTATACCCTAACTCGTGTGCTGCCAAGAATAAGAGTGAGTGCCTCAATGCCAAGACAGCCGGCTTCAACACCAACCACCACTCAACCTCAGCCCCAAACCCCCATCCCTGTTCGCTGACGGCAGGGTTGACCCCATTCTGAAGTCTGAAGCCTCACTCCGCCTCCACCGACAAAAAGCAGACAAACAGCACAGAGATTTCGGCGTCGGAATCCTTATGCCCAAGCCAAAAGAAGCAGGTGCAGCTCGCATCCTTCCTGACCGGCGCCAGGCCTCAACTGAAGCGTCCCGGCCGAGCTGGGTGGATGGTTCCCCTTTTTGTGGGTTTTTTCAGTCTAGGTTGCTTCGGGTTTAGGGTTTAGGGTTTAGCGCAGCATCCTTTGAGACGACCCTAAACCCTAAACCCTTAAACCCTGAAGCTCTAAACCCTGAAACCCTACACCCTAAACCCTACACCCTAAACTCTAAATCCTAAACCCTAAAGCCTAACCCCTGAAACCCTGGGAGCCCAAAGCTCTGCAACAAACTACAACTCCAGTTTACGCTAGCATAGAACCCAAACAGTGGAAAGAGCGCCTCAAGGCCCTACATACCCACTTGGAGCTTCATCGATAGATATAAGCCTGCTGCTCAACTCTTCTGAGTCTCGGGTGTTTTGGGGTTGAGGTCCTAAGCTCTCACCCCGTAAATCTTTAAGGTTTGGGATTCAGGGGTTTAGGGTTTAAGGGTTTAGGGTTTAGGGTTTGGGGGTTTCTGGTTGAGGGTTTAGGCTCGTGGCTAGGCCCTAAATGCTGAACTCATCGAGCCTCTGTTCAGCTCTAATACCCTCCCCTAAACCCGAGGCAGTGGCCGAGCAAAGGCAAGATTCAAAAGGCAGCCGCGCGTTGGCCTCGCGGCCGCAGAAGACGCGGACCTCATAGTACTTAGAATCCTTGGGTCCGGGAATAGATCTTGTTGTGCTAATCCTGAAGAGGTCTGTGGTGCGTGGGGCTCAGCGTAATGAGGGTGGTTATGGTGCTTTAGATGAAAGTTCGGGTTGAGAGACTCTTTGGGTTGGTTCAGAATTCGTAGAGGGTTTGGGGCGTAGTTTGTAGGGGGCATGGCCTTAGGGCTTGAGGTGTGGGCTTTCGGGATTTGTGGTGTAGTGATTCAGGTTTGGGGTTTCGGGTTTGGGGTTTGGCTTTTCGGCTTTCGGGGGCAGTTATTAGGGTTTGGAGTTCAACCACTATATAGGATTTAATTTAGTGTACGGCGTGAGGTGTAGGGGTCTTTGGGCTTAGTTACGAAGGATGAGTTTTAGGAGTTGAGGGTTCAGGAGCTTTGGGGTTTCGGTTCGGGGCCTTGCGAGTCGAGACTTCCGGCTTTTTGATTGGGTTCAGGGTTTAGGGTTTAGGGTTTAGGGTTTAGGGTTTAGGGTGATTGTACAATTTTTGGTGTTCTGTCATTCTCGGTCTGTTGTGGTGGTTTCTGGGGTTTTGTCGTTCTGGGTGGTGTGTGGTAGAGGCATTGAGGAGGGCGGGGCGTCGTGGGGTTTGATGATTCTCGGCAACGAGGGCTTATCGCTTTCTGACGGATTAAACCCTAAACCCTAAACCCTTAAACCCTAAACCCTAAGCCCTGAACCCTAAACCCTAAACCCTTAAACCCTAAACCCTAAGCGCTGAACCCTAAACCCTAAACGCAGGGACATGGCTCGAAGGGCTTGGGGGCTAGAATATGCCTATCACGGGCTCGGATCCCAGATTCCAGATCCGGAGCTCGAGACTTGGAAAGAAATTGAAGTTTGCCCGGAACTTTCAGACGGCTTTGAGTTTTTTGGGTGGCTTAGGGTTTAGAGTTTTGAGGGAATGCGTAAAACCCTGAACCCCTGACGCCCGAAGCCTCACCATCTCCATCGGGGTAGTGGAAAGCCTGACCCAACCCCATGCCAAAGAACTTGAACCCTTAGCTAGAAGCTTCAACGCCCAAGCAAGGCTCGCTCTTCATTTCTGGCCGGGCAAGAGCTATGCGGAGATCGAGGCCATCGCACGAAGCCGTAAACCCTGCTCCCTACACCCTCCGTATCCCGGAGAATGCGAGAGTCTCGAGTCCGTACATCCCAATTCTAGCAGCCCAGATTATCACCAGCCCTAAACCCTAAACCCTAAACCCCGTAAGATTCCTTTTGTTCTGGTTACAAGAAAAAGATACCCTGAAACCATCTCAAAAGATTAAGGTCCCCATTTTACAACCCCCATGTCAACCGTATAGAACCCTTAAACGTGCCCTTAAAGAATCCAATGATGAAGGCCTAAGGCCTCCATCTTCTTCCGTCAAGCTTTAGTCTGCAATCTCGCCAGGAGCGGTGCAGCGACGTTTCACTTATAGTCCCGAAGTTGTATATAATATAGAAGGCCAGATAATCACCAATACTATTGTTAGGCTTCCTTATTATGCATATACTCTAAAGGAGCCAAAACCCTATTCTAATTATTAAGGCCCCTACATACTCTGCCATACGTCAAAGTCCCTGTCTATAACCTTCAAGGATCCTACGTTAGACAGGGAGCCTTCAAACGGATAGCTACGTGTAATATAGGGGCCTCAATTATTCGAATGGGGTTTGGGGTATAGTATACTATAATCATAATAAGGAACCCCCAAAACCCTATTGTGAAATGAAGGCCCCTAAGTTACTTACTTGCTTACTTACGTACTTGAATATGCTTTCCAAGGTGGACTGGATCATTGCCACCCGGCACCACATCAGCGCTAAAGCTCCAGACTGTGGACGGATACGGAAAGACCTTGAGAGGCCGGATCATAATTACAGCAGGACCTTAACCCCTAAGTCCTAAGCTCTAAACCCCAAGGGGACTATACGGGGAGACGGGTGCTGTTGGAGGTACTGCCTTCGAATGTGTGCGTGGGTTTTTGCTCATAGTATCTATGGATTGTGCTGAGCCGTATCTCTCTCCTACATAGGGAGGGTTGTAGAAGGGCATACATCGAGCTTTTGACGGGTTTTCGGCGGCTTCGTTTGCACGGGGCCGCTCCTGTGTTTGAGGTTCTGTGTCAGCTTTGTTGAAGCACCTGCTCATCGACAACCCAAAACTCGAGAGCTCCGAAGTTCTTGTATCGCGCCTTTAGGGTTTAGGGCTTAGGGTCTTTCTGTTCCTGCAGTTCCAACTTGGAGGTTTATGGGTAGTTATAAGTGGGGTTGTAAGTCCCCTAATGGGAGTTATTACCACCCACTGAAAACTGCCCATGAACCTCCAAGTAGTCTCATCTAGACTAGACGAAACGGTATTCACTTGGTATCTCCCGACAGGTGCTCCCAGAGAGCAAGACTTGAACCCTGGAGCTGTTGGCTTTGTGGTGTTCTTGAGCTCTGTTCCCTATAGAAACCACAATCCAGGGGTCTGAATACTAAGTAGCAGTATCCCATTCTAGGTTCTAGTTCCTGTATACTTATACTCTACCAACTATACCCAGCACCCTTTGATATTTCTAAACCCTCAACCCGAAACCCTAAACCCTAAACCCCCCGTATTCGTGTTCAGCCCTCCTCTTGCAGGACCGGCTTCGTGCGCAGGGAGGCTGGCGGCGGGAAGTTCTGTTTGCTGCCGGAGAAGGTGGGCGCATAAGAAACGACTCAAAAATACTGCCTGTGTTCTTAAACTTTTTATATTCGCGGTACCCTGAGTGTTGGGACATCTCAGGTGGACCAACTGCTGCTGGAAGCAGAGAGCTAGTGGAAACCGCGAGCCTCCACCGCTTTGGTCAGAACACGATGCTGCCGTCGAGGAGGCTCTCTTCTCGCTGCTTCGGAGGAGGTTTGCCGACGCTTTGCTCCTGGCCGGGTCTTGCGATGGGCGGCTTGCTTGTCTGCGTATTTCAGAGCCTTGAAGCTCCTAGGCAGATGCTGGCAGGAAGCAGAAGAACAGAGTTGCATCGACGTCTCTGCTTTGCCGACTTTGCTTGTCGCTGTCTCGCCATTGGGTGCCCCGATCTGAATCAACGACCAGAATGGCTGTATGTTCTTTTTCGTTGCAGATGATGCAGTGCCTGAAGCTTTTCAGACTGGCAGACCTTCGTTGGTGGAAAGCGTCGCTCTCTGTTTCGACATGGCGAGGTACCAAGCCGGGTGCTGACATTTCTACCTATGGGGACTGACCATCCCAAGCTCTGGATGATTCTCCTTGTTACATCTGTGCATGACGAAAACACCAGGAAGGCAGCCTCCTGCTTTCCCTTCTGGCATGCTATGGTCACATATTATTCATGCATTTAATAAAGGGGCGTACCAGCAACTCTGTGCCGCAGCGCTTTATGTCAGGAATGTGGACGCCTGCTGATGCTACGGCTCTGTGCATCAGTTTCGACTCGTGTAGGCTTCATGACTTCATGTGCTTGTACTAGCAAGGGATTTACGGTCTGTCGTCCTGAGAGCCTACTCTTAGTTTTGCACTTCGCGCCGAAGCCGTTCTGTCCGGACTTTGGCAACTTTGCTTCTTGGGAATACTGGAGCATTTCAGGGTCTGTCTGCCCTTAAGGTTCTGTCGGAATTGACGTTTGCCATCTCAGGAACCCCTCCTCAGAACAGCCTACAAACCCTACACCCTAATTCCTGAACATTCATACCCAGAACGGGTAACTAGAAAGCCGGCACACCCGTGGAAGCCTTGCAGCACGGTGTCTCTGCAAAGGTCTCAATCGCGAGTCGCTTGTTTCCCCATTGAGAACTGTGACATGGCATGGCAAGCATGAGTTGGAATACCCAGGATTATGTATGTATGTATGTATGTATGTATGCATGGATGGATGGATGTAGGTAGGTAGGTAGGTAGGTAGGTAGACATGCATGCAGGTATTTACGTATGTGTGGACGTATGTGTGTGTATACATATGTACAAATGTATGTATGTATGTATGTATGTATGTATGTATGTATGTATGTATATGTATATGTATATGTATATGTATATGTATATGTATATGTATATGTATATGTACAACATATATCTATAGGTTAATATCTAAAGGAGAAGTGCAAGTCTGAAAACACCAGAAGCCCTGGACCCTGCATCCCTCAACTTTCTAACTGCTACACGCCCGCCCGGCCACAAGTGATTGGTCTCCAGCACACTACGAACCTGACCCTGAGCCCTGAACCTTAATATACGGTTTAGGGTTTAGGGTTTAGGTTTAGGGTTTAGGGTTGTTTAGGGTTTAGGGTTTAGGGTTTAGGGTTCAGGGTTTTAGGGTTATAACTACCTATACTATTCTGGGGTTGCATTTTATAATCATAGCATAATATCCCCCAAAACCCTATTCTAATTATGCAGGCCGCTATATGACGCGAAACGCCGGTTTCAATGCAGCCCGAAACCCAAACCCGGCCCTGGCCTTAAACCCTAAACCCTACACCCAAAACCCAAAACCCAAAACCCTAAACCCTAAACCCTTAAGCTCAAACCCTAAACCCAAAACCTGTAAGCCCCAAGCCTTCTTGAAGCTGAAGGCCCCCAGCCCGCGAGGACTACGAGCGGAAGCACGCCGAGCGTCGCCTGCTGCGGCAGCGAAATGCGAGGCCCGCATTTAACATAGCAGCCTGAATAATTCTGGGTCCTTGTTGGCTATTGATTTTAGATTTTGTTATAATAGAACCCCAAAAGGATTTAAACATGATCATTTTTATTATAGCCCCAGCAGGGAACCAGAATTAGTGATAATATTTCTCAGGGCTCGCTCTTGTAGTTCTAGTCAGCTATACCCTCCGCATAGTGTTAAAGAAATCACGGCCCCTATATTCGGGCCACGGCTACCAAGATACCCCCACATCTGTTGGATTTGGGCTTCAGGGTTTGCGATTAAGGCTTTCGGGTTTGGGGAATAGCCTTCACCCAAAACCCTAAACCCAAAACCCTAAACCCAAAATCCAAAGGCCAAAACCCAAAACCCTAAACCGTAAACCCAAAATCCAAAGCCCTAAACCCTAAACCCAAAATCCAAAGCCCTAAACCTTAAACCCAAGACCCAAAGCCCTAAACCGACTTCGGGGCTTGGGGTATACAGTCGTCTTTTCGGTTCCAGATACAGGATCCCATGTGCTGGTACGATTGCCCAGGAAGCCATGTTACTATGAAGCCTAATAAGCCCTAAACCCTAAACCCAAAACCTCTAAACCCTGAACCCTAAACCCTAAACCCCTTCTAAATTAAACCCAAAGCCCTAAACCCGAAACCCGTCCTAAACTCCTAAGCCCTAAATCCTAAACCCTAAACCCCTAAACCCTAAACCTAACCCCCCGAAAGCCGGCAGGAAGAAGTGGACCCAAACGATGCAGCGCTTCGCAAAGGGCGATCGGAATGCGCAGCAGGAGATCTCCAAGCAGGCGAGCGCTGCGGTTTAGGGCCTAATATAGGGGCCTTCATAATTAGAATAGGGTTTGGGGGTATATTATATCAAAACCATAATAAGGAACCCCCCAAACCTTATTCTAATTTTTTGAGGCCCCTAAATTAGGGCTTGGGGGTCGAGGGGTGTTGGGTTTTGGGTTCAGGGCTTATGGGGGCACTCGACCCTGCAGCTCTAAACCTGAACCGTAAGACCCTTTTACCCTGACTGCGTCTCCCAATGGGCCCTTTTTCCATTCTTGTGGCAACTTGTGGCCTTCGAGGTTTGTTCCGAGGTTGCTGCAGCACGCCCCTTCGCGCCCTTAACAGTAAAGGTGCCCTAGAGCCCGAAAGCCCTAAACCTCAAAATTTGAGGTTTAAGGTAAATGGAGCCTCAAATTGCCTCAAAGCCCCGACGTCGAGGTAAAAGTCGGCCCGAAAGCCCCCAAACTCTCTAAACCCTAAACCCTAAACCCTAAAACCCGCAAAGACAGGCGCAAAAGGCTCATGACGAGGAGCAGGCTCTTCGACGAGCCATTGCCGGGAAGGCCCCTCCTCGTTCGCAGGGTCTGCTGCCTGGGGTTTTAGAGGGATTTTAGGGTCTCGTGTTTAGGGCTTAGGGTTCAGGGTTTAGGGTTTGGGGTTTAGGGTTTAGGGGTTTAGGGTTGAGGGATTGGGGAAAGAGGGATCTTAGGGTTGTATATATATATATATATGGAGTCTGGGAGGATTTTATACGTGTGCTTCGAAGGGTTCCCCAAAGATGTATCCACGGCTTCGGGTTTAGGGGGTTTAGGGTTCAGGGGTTTAGGGTTTAGGTTAGGGTTTCGGGTTTAGGGTTTCGAGTTTAGGGTTTAGGGTTTCGGGTTTAGGGTTTCGGGTTGAGGGTTTCGGGTTTAGGGTTTAGGGTGCAGGGTGTAGGAGTCTCCACCACAAGATAACCTTTAGTACTCACCCGGGTTCCTGTTGGCCCCATCCCTGGTTGGTCTGATTCAGCCCCGAGAACATCCTTGCTAGTAAAGCATTTTGTGGATATTGTCTTGATCGTATTATCATCGATAGCGACAGCTAGTCTGGCAATGGAAAGAACAAAAGGAGCAGGCATTGTTGCAGCAACGACAAGCATGAGGATAAGCACAGCATTGTTTACATCATGAAAGGCCAGGACGTGTGGGTATCAGCAATAGTGAACCGTCTTATTCATGACGGTGGTAGCAATAGTAGCAGTAGCGGCAGCGACGACAACAATAGCTATGTAGTGGCGCTTTGAGGAACTACACGCCCCTAGCAACATGCAGCCAACCAAAAAATCACAGAAATATCATCACAACTAATGACAGCAATAACATCAACAACTGAAATGGGGTCTGCCCTTACATGACGCACTAATTACGCCTTCCTCTTTCTTCACGCCGATCTGAAGATGTCTTTGCCCTTCTTAGCGGTTCATGGGTAGTTATAAGTGGAGTCATAAGTAGGGTAACTATAGTTATAACCCATGTTAGGGGACTTAAAACCAAGCTTATAACTACCCATGAACCTCCAAGTTGAGGACGCAAAGGATTCCGACTCCGAACACGTCGACCTCAGCGACGACGAGGAGGCGCGCGAGGGCAGTTTCCGGGTTTCAATTAAGCCCTAGTAATTTAGGGTTTAGGGGTTTAGGGGTTTAGGGTTTAGGGTTTAGGGGTTTAGGGGTTTAGGGTTTAGGGTTTTCGGTTTAGGGGTTCAGGGTTTAGGGTTTAGGGTCAAGGGGTTGGG